TTTTCTATGCCTACAAATAGCCTGGAATACGAGTCAATGCATATATGTAATATCCTATGATTTATTATTTTTGTTGAGCCCATATACGAGGGTGTGCGCCGCCGCTGTCGAAGACAATGAGCACGACAAACCTGTCGGCGATGACGCTCGATCGGAGCGTCTAAGTGACGCCGCGTACATGTCAATGCAATAGCATGAATTTTCTGTATTTAATGAAATTTATTCCATGTTTTTATGACTACATACAAGTACTATAGCTATGCTCATCGTCGGCGACGACGACGACGGGCCTACTGACGAGGTGCCGGAAAGGCGGAGCCTCGAAGAAGCGCGCGCCTATGTCACCAGACACGTGGCGGTACGCCCTAGGGTTGGGGTCTGCTACCAGACTTCTACCCGGACCGCTGCCGGAAGCGGCAAGGGCATGGTGGTTGACAGGGAAGACAGCGAGGACGGGGTGTCGAGCAGAGTAGCGGACGGCCTTATTATACTAGCGTAGGCGGTGACGTGTACTGTATGTAGACCGATGCTCGAGCGTTGAAGTCAAGGGGGACGAGGTGGGGTACCCAGGGGGGGCGTTCAGGTGGGGTGGCAAAATAAGGTTTTCAAGACCCCTTGGTCTCGCGTCTTGGGGCGTAGTCCCAAGTCTAAGGCGTCTCGCTTTTGGCGTCACTCGGGTGCGAACGGACTGGTGACAACGGACAGTCACATAGCGGGGTCACAACTTTCCCCGCCAAGCGTGACTCCGACTTAGAAAAATATGCCCCCTCATACGTACAAAATCGTCTCTGGCACACATTGTTCAATGATGTTTTTGAAGCGAATGGAGTTGATTGGAATAGGTGAGAAAAGAGGATTTTCTCCTTGAGTCAGTCCAAATTCATCGAAATTTGACCTATGTCAAATGAATCTATGGCCTTCAAAACCTACAATGGTGTAAATCTCCCAAGGCATGATTTTTCTGAGTTATGAGGCTCTCAAATCACGAAGTCCCACTCATAGTTGGCGCGTGTCACGCGCATCCCGCCAAAAGGGGAGTATTACGAGCGGAGCTTGAATTGCGAAGTGGCGAGCCTACTCGATGACGAAAGTCGCGCGCGACTTCGATTATGTACCACCGCCCATCGAATGCATACGCAAGACGGACTCGAACGCACGACCGTGACGGGATGACTTCCCGTAAGCCAAAATTCTAGATTTCGCAGTTCTAAACGCCATCAGCGTACCTGGTCACACTCGCTGCCACGGTGCAATGGCAAAATAGAACCGTTCGTCCCATCCGTAATGCCAGACCAACGCTCGACGACTGCAAGTCACGACCATGAGGTCGCTTTCCATTTATGGCGAGCGGATCGCTCAATTTAGCAGGTGCTGATGGCAGGTTTGATACGCGGACCTCAACCGAGGCTAAGCGAGCGTTTAGAGTCGTCTGGAGATTTGGAAAGGGGGGTTGACCCCCCCTGCTAGATTTAAAGTTTAGAGACGGTTTTTGCTCGACGAGCCTCATCAAAACTTGGTCTAAGCGAGAGTGTGACAAGACGGCATCTCGGCTTGATGCATTTAGAGATTTAGAACTGCTCAAAACGCGTTCTAAATGCTTACGGGAAGTCATCCACGCTCGCAATTCCCGCTACCTTGGGGAGCGGGTCTTGCGACCAAGTGTGTTCGCACTTTCTCCGCCATTTTTGCAAGATCGGTCAAAGATCTGACCGGCCCTAAAGCTCTTATGTCAGTTTTCTCAGGCTAAGCCCTCCTTCGTATATCGCTGGTAGTCAACGTCGTAGCTTTCACTAGTATTGATCGTCTACGGCGTCTTGCGATGAGCGCTCCTGCAGTGTTCTCTCTGTCTTTGGTCGGCTCGTACTTTGGTGTCCCGGCTGCCATCTTGGTGGACTCAAGCATCGATAGTTCATGTGTCCGCGCCGGGCTTTATACAGGGAACACAACCTCCCGTGTACGTGGTCGACTTCTGGCAGCTCTATGGCTCCTCTCGTTGTGGATGCACGGTACTGTTGATGTACCCGCGTGCAACGGGCTGG